GATCTACACCGTTGAGTTCGGCCAACAATCGCTCAATTATCACGCACAAGAGAAAGAAGAAATACCTAACTGCGATTTATACTACTCCCGGTCACGGGATTCAGGGCGAGAGAGGGTGTTGCGCCCGCGCTCGCGCGCGCGCACACACATACACACGCACGCACGCACACACATACACACACGTACTAGCAGGATATGAAAATTCACAGTCACAGCGCGCGCGATTATTCCCGCGGCGGCGATTCCCCCGCCGTCCCCGTGACGTCATAATCGCGAAGGAAGGAGATCGAGGGTCCTCGAGAGCGCCGAACGAAATAAACCGTTAAATGCGCGAGCGCTCGCGAATGCGCGTGCAGGATTCTCTTCCTTCCACGAGTTCCCGGAACGTATCCCTGAACTTTCGTCGAGCGCTTTCGCGTGCACAACCGGTGCATAAATAATGCGCATCGTTCGAGAGAGCGAAACGAGCGACGATTGTGTGCGGCGGCATCGATTTATGCGTGTACTTCGACCCGCGACGTGACGTCGACATCGACGACGACGACGACGACGACGACGACGACGACGACGACGACGACGACTACGACGACTACGACGACGACTACGACGACGACGACGACGACGACGACGACGGCGACGACGACGACGACGACGACGACGACGAAGCGGCTGCGACGATGAGGAAACAGCATGAGGAGGAGAAGAGACGGAGGAGGAGGAGGAGGAGGAGAAGGCATCGCTTGTTCGGCATTGCGTGCGTGCGTGCGTGCGTGTCGTGCGTACGTGGCGTGCGTGCATGCACGGTGCGAACGGGCCTTAAACCCGCGCGCCGTTCTCCCGACTCTGCATTTACGTCGTCGTCGTCGGCAGCACACGCATTCCCGCGCGCGCGGGAAACGCACAGGAGGGCGGAGGAGAGATATACAGATATCTCTCTCTCTCTCTCTCTCTCTCTCTCGTGGACTGCACACACCACGTGACTGCACGCCGTCCTCCTCCGCGCGCGCGACTTGCATCCGCAAGTTCGCAGCTGCTGCTGCGCCACCGCCGCCGCCGTCGACGGCGAGGATTTTTAGCGCGGATTCCTGCCCGCGAGTTTGACGCGTCGGCCTCGCGCGCGATAATTGAGCGGCTCTAAACTGCCGCCGCGCGGACACTTAACTCGCGAATTCTCACGCGCCTATACTCGCTCTCGAGAGGCTTCTCGGCGGGGACGTGAGCGATCGGATGCGAAAATTCTCGTTGGAAATTCTGCCGAAGCGGCAGTGGAAATCCCCAGGTAGCACGAGACATCCCGAACGCGTTCAAAACGCCTGGAGGGTGTCCTCCGGAACGTCCTGAGAGCGCATCCTGAGAACGACCTCAGGATGTTTCGCGCTAGCGAAGGGAAATATTGTCGCTCCAGATCGAAGGGTTGGATTTTCGACTCGCCCTCGCAGGGTGAATTATCGATATCATACGCGAATGTCTCAGCATTAATTGAATCAAATCTTCATTTTTGAGACGATGGACCGTTGCGAATTCGCTCGGCCAATCACGACGGAAAATATTCAACCGACTCGGAGCGGAGAATTCGCTCCGCTCCGTTCCGTGGAAAGTCATTCGAATTCAATGACTCTAAGGCCGCTGTACTTGTCGAGTGGAATTTCACTCGGAAAAACTTGGAGAGCTCGAACCGAGGAAGTTCGCAGAGGGCAAGGATGTTTCTCCGCCGCGTGAAGCGAGTCGAGCGGCGCGACAAAGTTCACGTGCGCGCACGGTAGGATCCTCGAGAAACGAGCGCCGAGCTAAGCGAGTCTCGCGCAGGCACAAGAAGTACTTTTCCATGTGTAATGAATTTTTTTTCTCGGCGCGGCCCACGTCAAGCGCGACACAAAGTAGGTGAAGCGCGAGAGCGCGCACGCGTGTGACCGTGTGGAAAAAATATTAATCATTGCGCGAGCGAGCGAGCGAGCGAGCGAGCGAGCGCACGCGACGGCCGTGATCCTTGGAGCGGCTAAATATCACGAGCGCGCCTCGTTTGAATGAAAAAATATTAGCCCGATGGAAGCCCGCCGGCCATGTGGACGTTAGAAACTGCACACGGTGCACACACACACGGCGGCGCACAGTCATTGAGTGGCGAAGAGTGTCGTTTCTCTTGTGAGAAACGACGTAGGTGCCAAAATCAACAAAGCTCGGAAGAACGAGGCGGGACGCAGCGTCTTTCAACGCCGTTCGAAATGAATTATTTTTTTGCCGACGTCCCGAAGTGTCGTTTCGTGCTACAAAGTGAAGAGAGACAGACAGAGACAGAGAGAGAGAGAGAGAGAGAGAGAGGGGGGGAGGAAGGGAGGGACGCTTAACGATGCGGAGAAATATTCACACCGGTTACGCGCGCACGCGCCAGCTGCGAGTTTCCGAGATCGAGTTACTTCGAATTCGGCGGTCAATTAGCAGGCTATCGCGTTGTAACGAAACGCGCGAACGAGATATCCGCGCAAATACGCCACGTCGAGTTCCCTCTTGCCCTCTCTCTCTCTCTCTCTCTCTCTCTCTCTCTCTCTCTCTCTCTCTCTCTCTCTCTCTTGGCACGACCGAAAGCGAACGAGAGAGGGAGGGGAGGGGAGGGGGGGAGAGAGTGCTTTATAATTATAAACACTATAATGCGTTATTAACGTTTTAATTATGCGTGTTGCGCGCTTAAATAGTCTGGCGTAAACACGCATTTGCAGTTCTAACGTTTCGCTACGGTCGCGGTATATATATATATTTGCGTTACATTCATTTAATTTCATTAAGAGATCAGCTGCGGCGTTTTGCAACTTGTTTAATCGGTGACTAGTGATTAGCGCGCGACTCATGGGGGCCCGCCCGAAATCCCGCATTAATCCCGTCGAAAGGCGCGATCGATCGATCGATCGATCGATCGCTCCTTTCGACGCGTCATTACTTTTGCCGCGATGCTTATCTCGGGTGATTATACCGCGATGAACATGTAACGTCTGTAATTTTTAAACTTACGGCGCGTGCACGCGAAATATGCAAATAGAGGCTCGCTCGCGCAGAATATAAAAGATAAACGCTCGATACATTATCGTCTCTTTTATCGGCGAGATAAGCGTATCGGAATTGACGATAAGTCGCATAATTCCAAACTATTCGAGAGATATCGGTCGTAACTATTAATTAAAAGAAGTGTGAAACACTGAGAACGCAGAATTGAAAAATATCTAGGCAATTACGAGAAAAACGAGCAATCTGAAGAGTCTGCGTCATTCGAGAAACAACTCAAACGCACGTCGCTTCTCACCTTAGTAATCAAGCCAATAATCCCCATCAAGCTGAAGTTGGAGGATCGAGGAGGGACAGAATAAATTCGAAAAATTCTCGCGCAAAATCTCGTCGCTGCCGCAGAATCTCACCTTTCCACGAGCCGAGAACTCCGCGTTTTGCGCGCAAGAGTCTCGGGCAGAAAAACGAGAAGAAAAATACGCGGTTCGCGAGGATGATAATGAACGGACTGATAGATAGCGAGAAATGTAGATTTCGGTCGATTCGAATCGACGGGACGATTCCCGCGCAAGCGCGCGCCAACGAGCCTGCGGAAAGGACTCTAAAGCGAGAAGCACACACACACACATTTTTGCATAACGGCATAATACACAACACATAAGAAAATGAACCAATCGGAGTCTTTCATTTCGAGCGTGGCGATAGAAATGAGGATTTTAATTGCTTAATTTCTTCGCGCATTGTGTATTATGCAAGAGTGTGTGCTTCCCGCTTAACAGGCCTACAAAATGAGCCGATAGTCGCAAGACACAAGCAAATTGACCAACTACAGTCGATAATTTTTCGGACCGTCAACTGTGGTTGGTCAACTTGCTTCCGTCTTACGGTTAATCGCGGCTTATTGCAGAAGGCCCGTGATATAAATAAATTCGAGAGAACCGCTTCTCGGAGGCTCGGATGTCCGAATCGCGCAGCGGAGGTTCGCCGTATCGCGCGGACTGTCCCACCGCTGCGAATCGTGCGGTTGCAATATAAATGTGCAACGTGAATCATCAGAAATGTCGTTACGTACGCGCGAATTCCTGCCGGATGAGTTCCCGCTTCTAACCTTTGCGCCGTCGCGTGTCACGATTGTTTCCATATGAAAAGGAAGTCTTTATTCTACTACGAATGTAACTCCGAGCGCGACTCCCGGGCGACACTCGCATTCATGCTGCCACGCGCGCCTAAGACAGCCGCAGGTCGAGACGCAACCGGGCCGATAAAATCGCGCGATTTTTGCGCCGAGCGACACTCCGAAACTCTCGGCGGCCACGTTTCCTCTCCCTCTCTCTCTCTCTCTCTCTCTCTCTCTCTCTCAGCGCTGGTCGCGCCGCGCCGCGCCGCGAATCAAATCGCGTTACGCAATCACGTGAACGCGCGGATCTCGCGACGATTCGCGCGTGATGTTAACTAACAAAGGAAGACAAGAGAGAGAGAGAGAGACCGACAAACGCGACAGAGGAAAAGTCGCTTGTTAAAACGGAATTAACACCTGGACGAATTCCAGTTTCCTGCGTCATTCGCCCTGCCGATCTCTCTCATCTCCTCGACGTGCACGTCTCTGCGCGTATCGGAATTTTTTTCTTGGTTTCCGGCATGCGGTGCCATGCGACAGCCGTTTTCCACTGTGGCGCCTCTCATCGCCGAGGCGCGTCGTTGGCGGCGCTTCGTGCGAGGCGCTTCGGTCTCTGGAGAACGCGGCAAAAAGATCGCGAGAGATCTGCAACGCGGGGGAGCGCGCGACAGCGTCAAGTGACATTACGTATCGCGCGCGTCGCCCGCGAATCCTGCGCGACGGGCCGAAAGAGTTAAATTAGACTTTGGCAAGCCGAGTGAGACGAGTCGCCGGCGAGTTGCGGCAACTCCGCAAATGCGAACGCCAGCGAGGCGAGCGCGTTCGCGAGCGCGCATCTGGCCACGCGGACGCGATCGGTAGTATCTCAGAGAGTCAAGATGTCTCTTACCTTCCAGCCGGCGCTGCTGTTGTTGTCACCCTTGTCCTTGAAGTAGGGCACGTTCGTCACCATCCAGTCGTAGATTTGCGACAGGGTGAGCCGTTGATCGGGCGCGCTGGTGATCGCCTGGGTGATGAGGTCGGCGTAGCTCAGGTTACCCCAGGCGTTCCTTCGGGATGAATTCTTCTTCACCGGCAGGAGACCACCCTGAGCCAGTTGAGTCTGATGGGGTGGTGTGCCGCCTTCGGCACCCTCCTTGGCGGCCGGTGCGTTGCCTTCCACGTATTCTTCGGGTCTCGGCAACGGCCATGTGTTGGATCTCGCGCGAGTCTGCGGCTCGAAGCCGGTCTCCAGGTCCGGCGAGTTGGAGAACTCGAAGGAGACTCCCTTCTTCTGTTGCTGCTGTTGTTGCTGTTGCTGTTGCTGCTGCTGCTGCTGCTGTTGCTGTTGTTGCTGCTGCTGCTGCTGCAGCGACGGGATCAGCGAACCCGAGGCCGAGACCGGCACCGAATCCATCATGCTTCCCGCGTCGCTCCGCGAACTTGAGGTTCGCGATCGAACCGAGATGCGCGAGGAACCCGCGGTGAAGCGATGACGCCCCGTCTACGATCGGCAACGACGAGAAGCTGGTTGCGCGCGCGCGCGCGCGCGCGCGTGAGAGAGAGGAACGACCCGAGTCACGTTTTCGTCGCGCACTATCACCAGACGCGCTTTCGTGTGCGTCCGTGTGCGTGCGTGTGCACGTGTCTTTTTTTTCTAGTGTATGTGAGTGAATGTGTGAGGGTGTGCGTGTGTGTACGGCTGCGCACGTATGCGTGTAGGCGCGTGTGTACAACGTGTAGATGTGTGTGTGTGTGTGTGTGTGTGTGCGTGTGCGTGTGTGTGTGTACAACGACGGCCTTCGTACGTCCTCGCTGCGAGCGAAGGCTCGCGGTAGCGCTCGTTCGCACCGGCTTCGGAACGACGGCTTCGCACGCGTAATTCGCGTGTAACGCAATGCTTTCTTTCTTTCTTTCTCTCTCTCTCTCTTTCTCTCTCTCTCCTCTCCTTTCTTCTTTTACGTATGTGATATATAAATCTCCCGAGTTCGCTCTTGGCCGACACTGCGGTTTTTTTCAACACATCACCCACCCACCGATCGACCGATCGATCGAGCGCGGACTCGGTCAACGAGATCGACGCGATATCACACGACGATGACAACGACGACGATGACGACGACAGCGACGTCGCGACGCGCGCTTATCGGCGCTCGCAAGAGACCAGCTTGGAGTCGTCGGAGTATCGTCCGAATCGCGCGTACGCTCGCGTGCGGTTGTCGGCGGCGGCGAACTAACTGAGGATTCTGCCCGGCGCCGTTCTGCGTGCCGAAAGAGCGCGAGGGCTAGAGTGAGACGGTCGGAGAAGGCGAACGAGAGGCGGCCGATACGGCGAAGAGGAGGCGGAGGAACAGATAGATGGTACAAGAAAGAGAGATAGGTGAGAGGAAGGGGAACAGAGAGAGAGAGAGAGAGGGGGGAGGGGGAGAAAAAGAGAGAGAGAGAGAGAGAATGAGACGAGGTTGAAGCGCGAGGCGGCGTAACGAAACAGAGAGAGACGGAAGAGTGTACCAAAGAGAGATAGAGATAGAGATAGATAGAGAGAGAGGAGAGAGAGAGGGAAAGAGAGAAAGAGGAAGGGAAGGAGAGAGGAGAGAGGGAGCGAGAGACGGACAGGCGCTCGACGGCGGAGAGAGGGAGCAGACCACGTGGTCAAACTCAGTGTTTACAAGCCGTGCCGTCGGGGTCACGTGGCCATGTTTTGATAGGCACTTGGCCCGCTGCGCGAATGGATCTACGCGCTCGTCGTGACGTCGCGGCGAAATTTGCGCGGCGAAGAATCCTGTTGGTCGGCGACGGTGGCTGCGCGATTTTCGGCGTCGGCGACCGATGCCGCGCGAGCGACGATCGCCGCACTGACCTCTGCTGCCCTGGTTGCCCTCGGGAGACCGTACCCCCTGGTATCTCTCATCGATAAGACGGTATCCTCGTCGCCGGCGAGCTGTCGCTTCGCGTGTATCGCCGCGATCCTTCGATCGTTTCGCGCCGCTTGACTCGCCCGCGAACGGAGCTTCCTCGGACACGTCGGCACAGAGTAGTCTCAGTCTCACCTGCTCTCCTCCTCGTCTTTTCTTCGTCTCGCGGCCGAGCAAGCGCGGGACAAGAGGAAGCGCAGAACGAGCGCGTACGAGAGACTCGCGCGGAGAGAGCTCGCGGGAAGAAGGATCTTTTGCGAATTGTCACACAGGAGTCACGGCGGAATCGCGCGCTTCGCGACTGTTGCGAACAGCGAACTCTCGGACTTGACAACAGCCGGGAGCGGGAGAAAGAATAGTAGATACCTAGTAGCTACGTGAGACTCGCCGGCAAGGCAGCGCGGCACATACTGACGGATTTCTCCGGCCGGCCCTCGGAGCAGACCGACCGACCGAGCGGAGCCGAAGCCACGAGAGGCGAATTCGCGGCGCCTGCTGTCGCGCCGAAGCGCGACGAGCGCAACCGACCGCCGCCGGCGGCGTGACACAAAGAGTGCGAGGGAGCACGGAGCTGGCCGAGAGAGGGAGCGAGAGAGAAACACAGAAGGAGAGCGCGGGGGAGAAAAAGACAGAGGCACCGACTGCACTCTCGGAGCGCGGGAGGAGGACGCACAGAGTGCATCGGAGGGTCCGGAGTGGCGTAGCTAGTGGGTGGCTCAGCGACGTAGTGAGGGAAAGGAGACCGCGTGGGGGGAGCGAACGAGCGAAAAGTGGGGGAGAAAAAGAGAGGGCCATCGACGGTGGGTGCGCGCGCGCGCGCGCGCGCTCGAGAGAGAGAGAGAGAGAGAGAGAGGGCCATAAATTGCAACTTTGTGCAACGGCGGAGGGAGCGCGAGGGAGAGGCGAGAGAGAGTGTGAGAGAGAGAGAGAGAGAGAGAGAGAGAGAGAGAGAGAGAGAGAGAGAGAGAGAGAGAGCGAGAGCGGGAGAACGAGAAGCGCGCGCGAAGGAAAAAGGGAGTCGACGAAGGAGGACGAGAGACGGCGAGAGACCACGAGGCACGACGAGGAGGCCGAAGAGAAAGAGGAGGAGATGCTGGAGGTGGAGGAAGAGGACGAGGGAACGCGAGAAGGAGGGAGACGGAGAGTGCAGCGTGCTCGCCGGATCTAACGGGTGGGCGGGGAAAGGGGTATATACGCTGTGCCCCCAGGGTTAGGCACCGCATCGCGCGCAGAATAGAGCCTCACGATTGCCATTCGATTCTCCGAAAATCGATCGTGTTTTCTGTTTGTTTCCTTTTTTTCTAATTCTAATGCAAAACAGTCGACTGTCCGATGCGAGATTGTTTCAATAAACGCTCGCTCGATTCTTCGAAGGTTTACTTTCTCCCTTTGAGAAGACCGTCGCTGCCGACGATTATCGTCGGTGAGCGAATCGATACGATCGAGACGATAAAGATGCGGGAATTGTTTGCGAAAAATATACATTGTTATATATTTATAAAAATATATATGTTTATACAATAAGAATAATATATGCGAGTATTTCTCGACAATTTCTTTTGTCCTCCTCGCCCTTCCTCTACAAACTTGCTTCTCTTGTATCGCTCAAGTCGAGCCGCCGCCGCGTACCGACCGCACGATTCTTCCTGTTGAAATTTGCGGCACCCCTTTCGCGGCACTTTTTCATGCATCGCGCCGTAACTTGTAGAATCCGAGAGAAGATTCTCAACGGCCGATCGAAATAACTCGGCTGTTGTTTTCGGCCCGCGTACCCCTATCGGATGTGCCGGGCGCCCTCCCGAAAGAGAAGGTTCTTCGCCGCGGTTCAACATTCCGGACTTCGTTCGGCCGCGCATTGTTGCATCGCGCGAATTCCTCGTAATCGAAATATCGCGGGCGAAAAAGATGGCTGCTACCCGGCCGTCTGTCGCACTTTTAGACGCGAGCGCTGCGGCTTCGCGGTCGCAGAAATATCTCTCCCCGCGTTTGCTTCGACATCACGCGCGAAAATATCCGAGAAAAAGGGGGCGCGCCTCGAAATGGCCTCGAAAGTACAAGACTTTCTCGCCCGAATTAGACATTAACAAAGAGCCGTCGCAAGCGAATTAGTCTTAGAACTAAGAATCACTCACCACATGCGTCGCCGCCGATCGAGATCCTGGCTAGATCTCCATGAAATTCGGGGCCATCTCCCGCCGCGCGGAGTCCTGCAACATGAAGAGGAAATCTGAAATGTATTTCCCGTCCCGCGAGAATTCTCTCCGTTTTAAAACGAAGTAGATGCAAACGCGATCCTACGGGGAAGACACGCGAGTAGCAGATAACCGCCGCTTTTTCCGAACCCGTTCGCGATTACTTTCGACGCGTTTTACACGAGTTCCCCCGCCCCGCGAGAAGCAGTAGTCGCTGTTTGCTCGCGCGAACGTCAGAGTAATGTCGATTAAATGCACTCTCTCTCTCTCTCTCTCTCTCTCTCTCTCGTCCACATCACAACACATTCTTACGTGGGTCTTGGCGATCTTATTATACGTCGATTCGCAATGTTGTTAGGCCGAATAACTCGAGCCGAGCGCGCGCGCGCGACCACCATAGGTATCCCCTGTCCTTCAATTCGGCCGTTGTCCGAGGTTTGTTGTTGACGTAAACCCCCGGCCGGATTTGTCCCCGCATAAAAAGAAGTCGGGTGTAGAAAGGGCAGGCAACCCGGCGATTGCAACCCGGTGAAAAAAAGACACGACTTGGTGGCCAAACAACGTGCGCCCTGTGTGGGCAGTTAAGGCGACTCCGGGCTAACTTAAGGGTACCGTCAACAGCGTAATTATGCACCTGAAGCCTTCGATTGTCCGGCCGGATATCACCGGCCACATTGCTCAATGTTGTTTGCCCGCGCATGAGCTAAAAACAGAATGCCGTAACGCACCGGCCGTGTACGCGCGACGGCAGGAACACGCGGCTCCGCGGCTAAATATAGAAGACGGATGGATCCCTTAAGGACTACCCGATCGAGTAACCGCGCGGACAATTCCAGCCGCTATACTACACCGTCGGAGATACCTCGCCGTATCGCGTGAGTCACACGTGGGCGCCACGATGGAGGCGCGTTCTTTCGTGATTCTCTTTCAGGACTCTCTCTCCCTCTCTCTCTCTCTCTCTCTCTCTCTCTCCCTCTCTCTCTCTCTCTCCCTCTCTCTCTCTGTCCTTTGTGCCACTCGGTCGCAAAATGCGACCTCTTCGGCTCGTAAAGTAACTTGAAGACGAACGCGGTCGTGCTCGAGGTCAAGGTCATGATAAATTTTTATAACCCTCCGCTTTTCCGATAATGGGAACAAAGGACGAGACGGTTATCGACGAGGTGCAACGCCGACGGGCTGGGCCGACGGAAACTCCAGTGACTCGAGTGAATGATCGGTGCGTATGATTAAGACCACTGACGGCGGACTTGAGGAACTTTGTGTAGTGCGCGCCCGCTGCCGCGGGAGCGATGACTGTCGTCAGCCGATCGATTGTCCGTTCCGATTGTTCGTTAATTGAGTCGACGCGAGGGGACTTTGCAGACTTTCTCCGTTGGATTCTAATTTCGACGGGCGATCCGTCTCCGGATATTAAGCGGCAGACGAGAGAGAGAGAGAGAGAGAGAGAGAGAGAGGGGAGAAAGATCTCTCCGCTGAGTGTGATGGAATCGGAAAGTCGATGGTGACTTTGTATCGATTGTTAATTACGCCGAAACTGTGTGTGCAATCTCGGCTTTCTCCGACAGCTAACGAGCTAACGACACCGCGCCAGCGCGCGTTCCAAAGTGCAACATTTCAGCCGTCTTATCGTCTTTTCCGCGAGATTATGACAACAAGGTGCCCGATTGTCGAGTGAAATAATTATCATACGCATTCAGAGATGGGAATTCAAAGACGACAACTCGAAATATGCTTTCTTATCAACTATGTTGTGCTGAAGCGCACGGTGTGTTTTCGAACATTGATTGGCACGAGGGCGGCATTATTCGATAAAATTGCATCGACAAGTGCAATCGTCGAGTACGTGCAACAACAAGTGCGCAACTGCGAGAGAAACTGCGAAAGAGGCAAAAGGAGTAAGTTGCGGACGGAGACGCGCGCGTTCCTAGCTTTTCACTTCGACTGTACCTTTTCATGGGCTCGATTCGATTCATGCCGATCCCTAGGCATACATCACCCTCGCAAAGAACTGAGATACGTGTCGGATAATAAAGAACTAAGGAACACGGTTTTAGCATCCTTAAGTAGCCCGTGGCCTAATCATTTTCCAGCTCAATCCTGATAAAACCGGGTTGAAAAGGCATGCATATAAAACACACACGCGAGCCGTTTGCTGCGAAAACAACGTAACGCGGGACTTTTGAGTCTTTCCTTTTTCTTCAAGTCGTTGCATCACAGCGCGGCGCATAATCTTATCCTGCCGTAGATTTATCGCTCCGTATCGCGCCGCGACTAGCGTCCCCAGCGTGGCCGATTTTTTCCCGTGAACGCTGAACGAAAGGCGAGCCGCTTTTCTTGCTTAGTTACTCGGCGAACAGGCGGCGAGACCCGCCGCCGCGTGGATGTCGGCGAGCGCTTTTGCCTGAGACGAGCAACACGCACACGCGCACACACGGAGGGGGGGTATCCTCCAAATTTTCAACATCCGTCTCGACCGCCATGGTCACGAGGAACGAAATTCCTCGCGATCCGCCAAGGAAATTAGGGCTGTCGGCGCGTTTTACGGACAATCGCTTCTGCCGAAAGTAGATCCCGGGGCGAGTCATCCCGGGGCGCTAAGCGCGAGACTTTATCGTGTGAAATTGCACATGCGGAGCGAATTAAGGCGAGATGGTGGAGGCCCCTGCGCGCTCTGCCGGTAACCCCTCGCCCATTAAGATCCGGCCGAAAGGTGGAGAGGCGAGGATAAGTTTGGACTATCAATTACAGCAGCCCAATTCCGGAGCTTACTTTACGCGGGATCGAGTCCGGTCGTATTGCGGCGGCTAAATTTGTTACGCTAACGAGCGCCGCGCCGCGCCGCGTCGCGATAGAACTTTCCGTATACCTGGCGCTTATTCTTTCTAACATTCGGCCCGCGGAAACAGACGCGGCGAATCACGACGCGCTCTCGTTCACTGGATCGCCGTCGGCGACGACGATTATCGCGGATTGATTCTCCGCACTTGGCGTGTCTCGCGTTGCTAAGCCGGGGGACGACACAGCGACGCGTGTTTGCCCTACGAGGTTTCTACGCGGACGCACGTGTAATTGGATCGTGCGTGTATCTCTGTTAGCTTGGCGATTAATAAAATGTGAAAAAGTCGCGCGCGAGAGCGGACGAGCGAACGGCTCTTTTCACCAACCGTCTCATCTCTCTCTCTCTCTCTCTCTCTCTCTTTCTCCGTGGGCGTATCGTGACGCCGCGCGCGCCTGTGTGCGCGCCCATTGACGAGTATATCCGGTTTATTCTAAAACAGCACTTCTCGAAAAATGTCCGAATGACATTCGAGTCTTTTTTTCCGTTCTATCGTGTGACGGGATTTTATATTATCAATTTCCGGTACGACACGGATGTCACGGATCTCCGCCGCGCTCTGTGAGGCAAGCAGCCTCGCGTAGTGCGCGACGACGGCAGACGTTGCAGCGGAGCGAGAAATGGCTCGGCCGATCGATAGCTGTCAAACATTAGTCGAGAATTTGTCATACGACGACGTTGGGCTATTACCAGAAAATAATGCAATGCCCACTCGCGTCAAGAGCAATTGTTTTACAATAGCGTTAGAACGGCGACCGGGCGAGATAAACGGCGTTACATTCGAGGATGCAACGTGCCGAAACTTCCGTCGTCGGAACGATAATAAACGATCGGGACAGTCTTTTATATTCATGCAGTCGGAGCATGCGATGCAAAAATGAGTGATTTGGAACGGCTTATAAAAGTTGAATGATAATTCAGGTTACAAATATTGAATATTATATTCCCTACACTCTGCGGTCGCGTAAATACTTAAGTCGCGCTTTTAATCGCGGATTTATCGCCAGCTTCAGGCAGACTTTTGCCGCAAAATTAGATTTTACGATTCAGGTGAGAGAATTCAAAGCTGAAAAGTTAGGGATGGAAGTTTGCGAGATCAGACTCGATGCACTGCCAACTCGATCGAGAATATAAAGACATTTTTATCCTTTCATCGGAAGCGAGACAGTTTGAGCCTTCTTGAGTGTAATTCAAGTCGCGTCGCGATCGCGATGATTCTTCTGCGCAAAGGTATGAATGAGCGGCGAAATCGTGTGACGGCGACAATGTCGCGCTATCTTCGTTAGTCGAGCGCGTCGTTGCTCGGTGTCACTGTTAATCCGCGGTGTTGAGACGTGACGTGCTACAATGTGGGCGCGCGCAAGCGGCGCCAAAGTCCTCGCACCGACTTTGAGAAAGTCCGACTCTTCGAACGCTCGTATCTGCGCGAATTATTGACGTACGAATGTGAGTCGAGAGAGCACAATTATTCCCGGCATTTCGCATACTATGCGCGTTTACGCTTGTCGCGCATGCCGTTATCGTGACGTACACGTTCATACGTATGATGACGTCATAGATGACGTGAAATAGGCAATCGTTGTGCAGATACGCCGCGATATATTTAAATAGGAAAATAGCGAAGTCGGAAGTGTTCATCGCGTAATCGCGTAAAACGCGAAGTTTGCGTTGTATGGAAAATTGTCGGTTCGTTCGGGAAATGTTGACGTGTGGACACTTTCGCGTAATTTATAATATCTCGCGCAATTTAAGATAATTTCGCGTAATTTATATAATATTTCGCGCGTGATTTCAAGGTCTGAAGCAATATGCACTTGAGCGACGGCGAGTAATACACGAGAAATGCCTTATTGACCATGTGGTTGCGCACGTTTAGTCGAGAATCGATTGATCGATATAGAGAGTCAATCGTAAAATCCCACATGAGCATCAGTAATCAATTGATTGCACTGTTTACCGCACGAACACTGTTTACGTGATACGATGATGAATGTTAAAAAGTATCCGGTATATAAATATGTGATTGAATCGGAAAGAGTTAAAATTATTGACCGAATAAAAATGAATTCGTTAATCGGAAAAAAAAATATGAAAAAATGCGCAACCAAGTAGACCAAGCATTTTAAATATATCATCAACATTTTAAATATATCAGCAACATTACGTCTTGCTAAAGTTTCAAAAGGTTTCATTTTCGCTGAAATATCTGTCATACAATTTACACTTTGTGTCTGCAATTAATCTTTTATAAAACGATAACTCGCCAGAGAGCTTTTTTTAAACTGGATCGCGTGGTTCTCGGGTATTTTTCACGGAGACATTTGTGTCGGCACATAAAGTCGGATGGATAAATTTTGCAATCACTCATGATCCGTATAAAAAAAACATTAATGAGAAAGAGGGAGGGAGGGGGAGAGAGAGAGAGAGAGAGAGAGAGAGAGGGGGGGAGAGAGAGGGAGAGGGAGAGAGAGAGAGAGAGAGAGAGAGAGAGACAAAGATCGTTTCGTTTGTATATTTTACTTAAGCTCCGGTTAGATATTTCGGGATAACGCGACACAAATCCGCGCGGTCTGACAATTCGACGGCAGTCGAGAGAGAGGTTGAAATTGTGCGAGAATGAAACTGAAGATTAACCGACGTCCATCGTGTTCTACGGAGTATGAGAAATTAATCGGTGAGGACTTTCACGCACGCTCCCTGTGACCGACACAGTTATACCGCGCAAATATCCAGATACGCTCGATACGCTCGATTCGTGGAAGAGCCTTCCACGGTAGAACCAACGACTTGAACATCGGCGGACAACGCGGCATCGTTCGCTTCGACTGATAACTCACCTTACGTTTACAAACCGCGCGCGCGCGCGTACGATCACGACCCGCGGTCTCTTCGCGGTTCTCCAGAGCTCCTGCTTTATTTGCTGTTAGTCAGCCAGAAGACAGCCGAAACTTCGTGGCTCTCGCCAGGACTCGAAACGCCGAGACTACCGTAGCGACTACAGGTATCGAGACGAGGCAACGAGCGGCTCGGCAGATGGCGGTAGCGGCTGGTGCGACGAGCAGACAGCCGGCAAGGGCGCCTTTCGTGCGCTCGCTTGAATGGGAGAAGCAGAGTCGGCTGGTCGGCGACTGGTTGCCAGGCCGGCCGGCACTTCACGTACCATCGTCGCGCGGTACGTTTCGTCGGTCTCGCGCGCGCGCGTTACCGGTTTCGCCGTCGGCCGCTTCCATCCGTCCCCGTCCGTCCGTCCGTCCGTCCGTCCGTTCGCAAATCTCGGCTCGCGAGAAAGAGAGAGAGAGAGAATCTCGCGCGGGATCCTCTTGCGAGCGGCGGTCCCCCACGAAGTACACAATCCGTCGCGATGCAGCGAGCCGCGTCGCGTAGCACACACGACCTGCGGAGAGCGAGCGCGCTCGTAGAAATGCGACGCGAGGAGAACCTTCGGCCGATTATTCGACACGTGCCGCGTGCCCTCGATCGATCCGATTGATCTCGCGAGTCGGCCCTCGGGAGTGCGGAGTGAAAGTGCTGAGCGGAGTAAAGGGGAAAAAGAGCGGGAAGAGAGGAGACCAGCAGAGAGAGAGAGAGAGAGAGAGAGAGAGAGAGAGAGAGAGGGAGAGAGCGAGAGCGAGGAACGAGAACGTCGCACCGACGTGGATTTCGTGGATTACGAGAGAAAGAGGAAGAAAGCGAAGAGACAGCGGTGGGTGCGTGCACGCGCGCGTCGCGGCATGAAGTCGTGCCGGCGGCACGGAGGATCCTCCGCGGAATCCGGCCGACTTCGCCGAAGAGGAGCGACCCGCTCCCGCGGTGACGCGGCGCCCCGGTGATGAGGAGTGAGCGCCGACGCCGCTCGCCCGAGTGTGTTATGCGCGAATGCGGCCGGCCAGGGGATCGCTATCACTCAGCAGCAGAGACGACAAGCGCGACGACGAGCGCCGCGACAGCGACAGCGACAGCAGGAGGCCGCCGGCACCGGCGTCGTGATGCCGTTCGTCATGCGAAAGGTGGAGCCGCGGCACCTGTGCCGCGGCCACGTGCCGGCGGGCTCTCAGGGTTGGCCGGTGGGTGCCGAGCTGGAAGCGGTGGCGAACGGTGCGCTGACCAACTCCCTCAAGCAGCTGGCTTCCCTCCTGACCGCCGCGGAGGACATCTTCGCGAGCCTCACCGTGGAGCTGGCCTATGTCACCGACCGGAGCGGTCACCTGCGCCGTAGGATCGACAAGGTCGAGGAGCGATTGAGCGCGGTCGACCCCAAGAAGATCCCAGTCCGTGAGTAACCGTAAATTCGCGCTATTTTCGGCCGCATTTTCGGCCGCAGGCCGCGCGATCTTATCGCCGCGCGATCATCGCGCCACGCTCTCGTCCTTCGCTCCTGCTGTTGCTCGCTGAGGTGCGAATTTCGGCGCGAGCAGGTGCGAAGGTCGCGGCGAGCCACTCGGCGGCGAGGCGCCCGCGCCGGTGGCTGCGACTGAGATGCGAAGTCAGAGAGTCCTCAGCCTGTTAGTTCTTTGCCTTCTAAAGACCCAAGAACTGCGATTTGCTTTCTGGCGGAAGGCCAGAAGGTTCCTCGTTCCTACCAGGCCAGTCGCACGTCTTAGGCTTCGAGCGTTGTTGCGACTTCTGACAGCGGCGCGGGAAGCGCCGTTTGGCCGAAATGACGTCGCACAGCTTGGGGCTTCGAAGTCTAAGCTTCCGTCTAGGGGTAGTCTATAGGGGTCTGAAGGTGAAAACGCGCGTTCGTCACGACACGAAACGACGATGATATTCGTGAAGCCGTGAAGAAGCCGATCGGAAGGCCGGTTGTCGGGGGGCCGTTTCTTGGCCGTAGCGTACAACTGTGATTCCAGCTGTCGCCGTCAAAGGCGCCGCGAAGTTAGGAAACTGACAAGTCGCTCTCGACGCAACACGCTCTCGGGCGTGCACACTCGCGTCGCTGCGCTCGAGTCGCTCGGATTTCGCAAGACCGCTCGATGGTTACGACATTTTTCAGTCGCACGTGAAACCCGAGGCGGCACCACCGACACCTTCGCGGCGCTGACACCTCGATACGACACCTCGCGACTGCAATTAGACTCGATCGCCGGGCGATCGAGTGACCAATAGTTACCGGATCTTCGTCCGGCTGCGCCACCGCACAGACAGGCGGAAGAATTCCCTCGACGAACGCGGTGCTACTTATTCCCCCCTCCCGGCGAGAATTCAACTATTCTCTCCTGTCGCGAAGAAATCTCACCGATTAGCTTCACACTCTCTCTTTCTCTCGCTGCCGACGAATCCCAATTCGTTTGCCAACGTCTCGGCTCCGTGCAATTCCGGGCAATATTTTCGTTTACCCGTCGCGCGGAGCCCACAGCTGAGCTCGATTTCATAGAGCGTGTCTCGTAAGGACGAGGTTAGGGAGAAAGGGAGACAAAGAGAGATAGAAAAAGACGAAGGAACAGGAGAGTCAAGAGAGAAAGACGATAAGAACGAAAAGAGAGAGAGAGAGAGAGAGAGAGAGAGAGGAAAGAGACGCGCCGAGAGACCCACAATACGGGGAAAACGTTCCGGGTTACCTGGCGCAGCGTGGGAAACGGATCGCGCGCGCGGAGCGCCGAAAGCGAGTTTCACCTGAGGATTAGCTGCTCCCGCTGGATGCACAAAGAGGGACCCTGTCTGCCGCGCTTTCTAACAGACCGCTTCTTCTCGGCGACAAGAAGCGGGGAAGCGCGACCTAAGGGCGAGATTACGAGCAGCGAGTGGGGAAGAGGGGGAGTCTCTTTAATGAGTCGCGCGGAGCTATCGAAGCTCCATCAACTTCTCGCTCCACCTCGCGCCGGAGATGTAATGAGAAGAAGCGGGATAAGATCGATATCTGCGGGATGTGGTTCCGCGGGGGAAAGGGGGACGACGACGACGACGACGACGACGACGAGTCCTGTGGGTCGTGTTCGGAGCAGTACAGAAAGAAAGAGTACGCGACTGTCGCGAATCCGCGCGTTTAAACTGTCGAGAGAGAAGGGAGGAGAGGGAGAGAGAGAGAGAGAGAGAGAGAGAGAGAGAGAGAGAGAGAGAGAGAGAGAGAGAGAAGGAGAGACGATTCGATCTCTTTCACGTCGCTCGCTCTCCGTGCGTCGCGAAATCGTTAGGCCGAGATTGTCCTCGCACGGTGAAACGATGAAATCCCGCGCGAGGAAGGCCACCGAGAGCCTCGGCTCCGCCCGGCTTCGAGTATCATCGGCGCCGTGAGAAATTAACGTCGCCTTTTACTCCCGGCCGTAGCTCCGCCGTGACGCGCACGATCCGCCGTTACCTCGAACAGTCGTAAAGCCGGGGGAAAAAAGCCGAGAGCGATTTATTACCGTGCGCGACTCCGGCCATGGAAACCACACGCTTTTCCTCCCGGACGATCGACGCCCGGGGAGGACAGAGAGACTCCCGAGCTTTCTCCGTCTTGCTCGATTCCACAGCTGTGTGGATTATAAACAATCATCGTAGGAGCCGAGAGACGCACGGATAGCCTTTCAATGGAACTTTGCTGCCGACGACGCCGAGACTTCTGCGAGAGAGACTTGCCGAAGAGACCCTTCATCAACATTCCGATTTCGCTTCTCTCGACTTGCAAATGAGCTCGCTTCAAACCCATCGATATCGCGAGTAATTAACCCTCCAACCGCCGCCACTACCCCGCGGGAACCCAGAGTCTCATGGCTCCGACGTTGACCTCTTCACGGGCGGAACGTCGCGGTCGGAGATGGACGCGAGTGCGTTCCATGGCTTCCGTCGGCAAACAGCTGAGGCTTCTTCTTCGTGGCGCGCCCGCCAGCCCGTAGGGGAACGCTCGTTCGTCCCTAGGAGGAGACGAACGTACGATAGGGATAGGAAAGTATCCACTCGCGTTTCTCTCTCTCTCTCTCTCTCTCTCTCTCTCTCTCTCTCTCTCCGCCGAGCCCGTCGCGCCGCGCGCGCTCGCGCGAGTCCTGAGAGCGCGAGGCTGCCTCCTTTCTTGAGACAGCTGACTCAGGTAATCGGCGGCACAAACGGTGCCTTCCCCGCAGGGCCCCTGAGAATTTTAATTCCCAGAGGCGAGCAGGCTCCTTCGCCGCGCCGGGAACGAGCGGATAAAATAACGTCCGCTCTGGCTGTAACGCAATACCGATGCGTGTGTTTCGGCCGTACGCGCGAGGGATCCGCGAACCCGTCGGGACGCGGAAATTTATCGAAACCAAGAAGTAGATATTTTTTCTTGCTGATTTTTCTGGAAGGAAGAAACTACGCAGCAGCTCTGTGTTCTCGTCATTGCTGGGACAATGCAAATATGAGGAGGAGAGGAACGGATGTGTGAGGTGAATTCGAGGAGGCTGGAACACTCGAAGGCACGCTATTACGTTGGATATCCGCGTCATTTACGACCACGTGATTGGTGGACGGAGTTAAGTGCGCTGAAACGCTCCGGGAAGATTATTAAGACGTCGTCGCGCGGCGTGATTAATAAATTATTACGTCCGCTAGATAATATTCCTATCGCCGGCGACGTGCAACGTAACTTCTCCCGAAGCTACACGAGGGCCGCGAGCAGCGCTTGAAAGTATGGTTAGCCTTGAACCTTCAGGCTCAGGTATCTCGGCGGGGATATCGCGGATCCTGGTGAAATCAGGATTTACATTCCCGGGGGGACACCGAGGTCGAGAGGCAAAATATTGACGTAAACATATCACTTATACGCGTTGCCAGGTCGCGCGGCATCGGAACGGACAGTTTTACGAACGATACTCTCAACCCTGGGCTCATAAATATCTCTCATAAATATATCGCTACGAGGCGCTTTGCGCTCGCAGACGTTCGCGAATGTTCGCTCGCTGGCGAAAATCGCCAAAGTCTGAATGTCTGTCGACGCTCGTTGGTGGCTCGAGTTGGCGAACATCGGCTAGAAAATTGCCTTCGAAAGGCTTGAATTTGATCGACGACCGACCGACGCTCTCGCTATTGATAGAATCGAGGAGGATCGGCGAGGATCCGCGTAAAACAGACGAGATGATGGGAGATGTCCATGAGAGTCAATCGTGAGCTCGAGAAATATCGATGGATTCGCGTTTGCACACTCGACCCGGGGCGCCTGATGTTATTAACGTGGTTCTGCAATGTTGCGTCTTAACGACTTGTGTCGGGAGGACGGCGCTTTTTACCGGCCTTCGCGGAAACGGCTGTGCACAGGATGCGGTCTGACCTGATCGCACAGGTTCATTTGTGTGCTTCGAACTAAAGGGTGTCCCAAAATTCACGCAAGAAGTAATTTTGATAGAAAACACAGGTTTATAATTAAAAATTGTAAATTTTCTATTGATTCATAAAGTATACAGTATAGGGTTATGTATGGAACAGCATATCGGGTAAACGGCCACGGCGAAGAGAGTTCGTTGAATGGATTATGGAACAACAACAAGCGGATGCTGATTTTTCGAACAAAATCATCTTCAGCGATGATTCGGCTCATTTTCATCTTGATGGCTTGGTTAATCGACAAAATTGTCGCATTCAGAAAATCCACGAGTGATTGTTGAGAACAACAAATGCATCCACAACGTGTCACTGTTTGGTGCGGATTTTGGCGGCTGGAGGCATCATCGGACCATTCTTCGGAAGAAAATGCGGCTGGTCAGGCAATAACAGTTAATGCTGCTCGCTATAGCGACATGATAATCCAGTTTTTTGTGTCTAAATTGCAAGATATGGATGTGGACGACATGTGGTCTCAGACAAGACGGTGCCACATGCCATACAGCCCGAGAAACAATTCAATTACTGCATGAGTCATTTTCTGGTCGTGTAATTTCCCGTTTTGGTGATCAGATCAGGCCGCCCAGATCATGCGATTCAACGCCGTTGGACTGTTTTCTTTTTGGGTTTTTTGAAGTCTAAGGTTTATGTCAACAAGTCCACGACCACCCACGCCTCGAAGGAGGAAATTGAGCGCTGTATCGACGAAATTCAGCCACATTTATGCAAAATGGTAATGGAAAATTTCAACAAAAGAGTGCATATGTGCCAGCAAAAGCCGCGGAGGCCGCCATTTACCCGATATGCTATATTCCACCCACCACACATAACCCTATACTGTATACTTTATGAATCAATAAAAAATTTACAATTTTTAATTATAAACCTGTGTTTTCTCAATCAAAATTACTTCTTGCGTGAATTTTGGGACACCCTTTACGAGCGAGTCGGGTCGATGGGTTTCCCATCGAACGCCGGTATCGGGTTCGTCGAGCTTGTATTGCTCTCCTTAT